GTCTGATATACAATCGCCATTTTCTATCGCTTTTCTTCCTAAACAGTCTTTAATGTCATCGATCTCCACCGATTTAATAGAACATCAAGTACAATAAATTGATTGGAACCACATCATAACTAATTGTTACCCGATATACATCATTCAACTCTGCATCTAGCAAATGCAATAGAGTATTTAACGAAACGAGTATAGGTGCAAGCATATAGTTTTAAGAGTGTAGCTGCATGTGTATATCTATAAAAACATAGGCACAAGGGTATACTATAAGGCTAACGAGGGAACATATTCAACTGTCAAATCGTTTTTGGACCGGGCATGTGCACAAACAATAGAGCTCAGTGAGTTATTAAATGCCCCTAGAATGGTTTGGTTTTCCAGCTTTCTGTTGTCGAGTTATGGGCCTTTTACTCGATTTTGGCTTATGGGCATAAGATTCTTCTGAGTACTTGAATGATCGAATTTCAAACTGAAATTTTGTCCATAGATAGGCCTTATAAGCACTAGAAACTCCTCAAAGTTTGAGCCAGAATAAATGTATCCTTATCGAGATATTCACATTTTAAAGAAACGCCCAGTTTTCAGCTGTGTTTCAAAATAGAGGCATTTTCATGGTAAGCTGATATCTCGATAAGGATGCGTTTGTTCTGGCTCAAACTTTGGGGAGTTTTTAGTGTTTATAAGGCTTATCTATGGGCAAAGTTTCCGTTTGAAATTCGACCATTCAGGTACTCAGAAGAATCTTATGCCCCTAAGTCAAAATCGAGTAAAAGGCCCATAACTCGACAACAGAAGACTGGAAAACCAAACTATTCGAGGCCATTTAATGACTCGCCGAGATCTATCGTTTGCGCAAATGCCCGATCCAAAAGCGATTTGACAGCTGGATATGTTGCCTCGTAAGTTATACGGTATACTTATAAGTGTGCAGGTACAGCGGTATAGTCTTCAGGATATAAATATAAGGAAATACGTAAGTATCGGGATATAACCATAAGCCAATAGGTATAAGGATATAGGTGTAAGAGTATCATTGACAGACTATAGGTATAAGGGTATAGTTGTAATGGTTATAGAAATAAGGTACAGTGGTAAGGCTATAGTCATAAGGATGCAGTCATAAGGGTATATATAAGGACATAGTTGTAAGGATATAGGTATAAGGGTATACTTGTAAGGGTATAGAGATAAGGATATAACTATAAGGGTATAGATATAAGGGTATAGATATAAGGTATAGAAATAAGGGTATAGGTATAAGGGTATAGTCATAAGGGTATAGTTGTAAGGGTATAGAATAATAATATAGAATAAGGGTATAGATGACATCATACTGTGGCATTGAACAGCATCTAAGGTACAGAACCTATTGGTACAAACTGAGAAAGGTTTAATGATGAACCATTTAAATGGTGTTACACTTTATGCTCAGAAAAGAACCATTCTTAATAAAAAATCAGAAATGGTTTCGTCAATTCATTACGGAAACCTTTTTCAGGCAGAACCATTTCTTGGGAGTTCTGTCGAGTACCCAACAGCAGAACCCTAAAAAAAGTTCTGCAAAACTCCTTATTTTTCACAGTGGGTATGTCTAATACTCTACTCTGAAAAAAAATGAGGTTTGCAGAACCCCTCAGAAAGGTTCTGTAGATTTCTAAAAGCATCCAAATGTGTCCAAAGTCTCAAAAAACGGATAAAAAATTCGACAGAACCTTTTGAGGGTTCTGTCTTTTACCCAGTAGCAGAACCATCTCTTACAGAACCTTTTTTTAG